TCAGCCAGTGAGCGGGATCCGGTCTGTATGTGGGATCCGAACCCTCGGTGGGAGCGCCGCCACGCTCCCAAGCAGCGCACTGTAGCAGTGTGCCACTGGGCCGGCCCAAGAAAACTTATGTTTTTGAAACTACACCAGCTACTGCACAAACTAGGCTTTCTTTCTATCCATGGCGGCTCAGCCCTAACACCTGGACCCACCACCATCATCACCATCACCGTTGAGTCTTCCTGGGTTGCTCTCCCTCCTTTTCCAGCTCTCCTCCTTACCTAAGAGCAGATATCACACAGGCTTGGTGGGGAGCGAGAGGAGTGATTCAATGGATGGAGGAGGGTAAGCTGTTGGAGGAGTGGCCTTGGGCAGGTGGGAGGGATGCTAATGGCCTTGGGCTGGGCCAGGTTGTTACTTTGGGTATCCAGGAGGAGCCCTTGTCCTCCCCACAAATCACACTTGATTCAGGATGGCTAAAGCTGGAGGAAGGGAAGATGCTTGGGGTGGACTCCCCTTAAATTCTCTGGAACTTCCAGCTTTCTCTCTTTGGCCCCCTCCAGCTCCTGAATAAATAGATCTGGGCTTTATTTTGTATAGTCTGGAGAGTAAGATTAGAGTACTGTTTACCTCTAAATGCCACTAAGCACGAGAAGGCTTGACTTACCACCAGATTCCACATTTCAATTATGGAACAGGTAGCAGGTTCTTTGACTTATAGGAATCTCAGTTTCCTCATCTATACAACGGGAATAACACCTACATGATTGGGCTATTGTGACAATCAAATGAGAGAACATGGAGGAAGCCCCTGGCAGGCTGTGGAGCAGTGTGGGAATGAGTTAAATGAGATACCACATTAAGTGTTTGGCACAATGCCTAGCATGCAGAAAGTGCTCAATAAATGGTATCTAATGAGAATAATGTCAGTTCTCTTTATCTCTGTAAAGGGGTCACTAGTGCTCACTCTATGTTTCTCTTGGCTACTTCATTAGAAATCTCAAAGCAATTTATATGTCCATCTTGTTTCTTCCTGGAGGAGGTAGTAAGATGAAAAGGGGTGAGAGGGCCAGGAGTCCTGCAGGCAGGAAGCTCATTCAGGGTGGGTTTCCCTCAAGTTCTCCTCAGCCTGCAGGTTCCCCTTCTCTGCCCCTGAGACCTCCTTCTCTGTGGTTTCCAGGACCGCCTGGCAGGGCTGGCTTTGGACTAGGGCCTGGGCCAGCTTTGTTCTTTTTTCACATTTTGGGGCCAGGAGTGTGGTGGTCTCTCCTGCAGCTGAACTGAAAGCCCCAAACACCAGGCAAAAGAAAGGGGGGGGGGAAGAGGAAAGAAAGCAAAGCCGATAATTTCCTCGAAGGATAAACATCCGATTTTTTTTCCTCACCCAAAATAAACATGCTAGCCACAAGGAATTAAAAGCAGAAGGGGGGAGGATGTGTCTCGATTTGGGGTTGCTCTAGGAAGCTGACCTTCTATTTATCCTGGCCCTGGGCACCAACCGGAGCTGCCAATTACACTCTGAGCCTGGTGGGGTGGGGGCCGCAGGGGGAAGGTCCCAGGAGTATGGGACCCAAAAAGTCCCTTCTGAGGCTGCCTTCCATGACACTGCAAATGGACACTTCCTTTGGCTTCTTATTTTAGCTCTGTTTGCAGGTTTGCCTGGTGGGGGAGAAGGGAGTGGGGAGGCTCGACAGTGCCTACTGCCTGGGCTGGTATCAGATGCTCTTCCAGAGCACAAGAGTGTGGTGCCCATCACCTGGACAGGGAGCTGAATCTATCATTGGGAGGGGGGCACCATCCAATTCCCTCCCCATTTGCAAACTCAGTCTCCCACTCCGTTGCATTCTTCAGATCCCCACCATGAGAATTGTCCAACCAGTGAACAGTGTGCTCAGCTGGGCGGAGGGGTCGGCCAGGGCCCCTCTGTCTTTCAGCTACTGTGGGGCATGCCTCTAAGAAGGCAATAACCTGTGCCCAGCTGCAGACTGTCCCTTTCATCTGGGGATCTCAAAGCACTTTACACACATGAGTCACCAACGCTGCTGCATCCTGGCCAAGCACAGGGGGGTTATTAACTCTTGGAGGGAAACTGAGCTCAAGGGCATGATGGAAGTGGGGCTGGAGTGGGGGAGGGGGAGTTGAGGAGCCATGGTTTAGGTTGTGGTTGAGACTGTAGCACAGAGGCACCTCCAAGGAGTCATTGGGTGGGAAAGCCAAGAGGCCTTCAAAGGAAGTCCAGGGAAGTGAGAAGCCAAAAACCCTTTCCTTACAGAGAAGGAGGAGTCTCTTCATAGCTTTCGAAGAGCATAAATCTGCTTGTGTCACCTGTCCCCTTCCAATCTATTTATCATTCGGTGATCTCCCATTGCTTTTGGGATACAGTCTGAAACTTTAACGTGGCTACAAGGCCTCTGCCCACTTTTCCAGCCACTCTCTCCCTTGCATACTTCTCTCCAGCCTTTTATTTCTTGGGAGATGCCAAGCATGCCGTTGCCAGCCTTGGCAGCATGGAGGGGCTTTGGAACGCTCTCTGTCCCTGTCCCCACTTGTCGAGTTAACCCTATCCCACTCTTCAGCCCTGAGGTCAAACATCACTTCCTTGAGAGGCTTTGCCTGAGCCTTCAACCCTTCCCCGCATCAGGAATCGGGCCCCTCTACACCCTCATAGCACATCGCAATTGGTTAGAATGTGCTTGTGGCTTTGAATATTTCCCTTCCCCACTACACCGGAAGCTCCATGTGGAAAGCACCATGCTGTGTCTGCTTGCTTATCCAAGCATCCCCAGCACCTGGCTGGAGGCTGGCTGCATAACAGGGGCCCACATTATTCCTTGAGTGAATGTTGTTGAACTTCAGAGCTGGAAAGGTCATGGTGATAAACCAACTGTCCTCTCTACTTTTCCCTACTTCAGTGTCAGCTGAAGAAGCAGAACTTTAGAGGGAGAAGTGATTTGCTCGAGGTCACACAGTGACTCAGTGACAGTTCAGGCCTAGGTGTCCCCACCTCCTGCCTGTCCATCTATCCCATCCCTCCCTCACCCAAATGCACTTACAGCAAAGCCCCAAACCCCAGTGCTGGGCACTGGTTGATTTCCTCTTGTTGGTTTTAGAAGGAAAATGGGTTAGGAAAGCAAAACGCCAAGCCCTGGAAGTTTTTTTTTTTTTTTTTAATTTGGAAGAGAAGGGTTCCATACCCAGAGGGGGGTCCACACTCAGACCCTCAGTGGGAAGCAATGTGGATTCACGCCTGGAAGGTGAAGCCTGTGGTCTAGCAGGCAGTTATCTCTGCCTGGGTTTGCTCTTGGGCTCACTGCCATCTTCTCTGCGGGCCTGGAGGGTTGACGAGTCCTGATAGTTCTGGGTTATGAACTGGGTGCTGGCTTCGGGTTCGTCCAGGCTGAAGCGGTTCAGAAATCTGTCCATTTTCCAAGAGCCTAAAAGGACAAATAGACCACAGGAAGGCAGTGAGAGAGAACCATGGACTTGAGAGCAGGACAGGGCCTCAGAGGGAGGCCAGGGCTGGGGGAGTGGAGACAGCAGGTGACCACCTTGGACCTTGGCCCCGGGCTGAGAGGGACACAGTGCCTGGGGGATCCTCCTGGCTCCTAGCTGCAGAGGTAGCTCCTGGGTGTTAGCAGAGACCCTGAGAAGCGGCTGAGCTGCCTGGTCCCCAGAGAACAATGGGGGTGAAGAGCCCAGACTGAGTTCAGGACCGCCTTGGGTGTCCTTCTCCAGGGCCCTTTATTTGTCATAACTCTGCTTTCTCTTTTGTCTACAGAAAGGAAATGCCTGATCTGGTAGGCTGTCCTCTCCACCCATGCCCTCTTCCTGCAGGCTCTCCTGACCCCACGCTTGTCACCCCAGCTGCTGGGGCTGAGATTGGTGGAAATGTCTGTGCCTTTCTTTCAGTCTTGTCCTCGAGCCCCGACCACCACTGAGAAAGCTGGTACAGCAGAGTTCCTTCCTGGGGGCGGAGGTAGAGGGCCCGCACCTGCATCCTGGAGAGGGAGCAGGGCGTGGGAGAGACGTCCCCAGGTGGGGACATGGAGCAGGCCAGTCAGTGCCCAGGTCGGAGGGGGCCCTCCTCAGAGGGAGAGAACACAGGAGTGTGGGGGGAGGCGCATCTTCCAGGGCAAGTGTGAACAGGCCTTGTGGCAGGGCAGGGAGGGCACAGCCCCAGGCACTGGGGAGAGGCTGAGGGAAGTGGTCAGAGGCATATTCCCACGTTCTCGTTCCCCAAACCAGGGGCCTTGGGCACCCTGCATGAATGGTTGCCGGGAAAATGCAGGGTGTCCAGTTAAATTTGGGTTTCAGATAAAGAACAGATAGCTTGTTGGTGTGTGTTCTGCATATTGCATGGAGCAATTTTTTATTGTTTATTTTTCAAATTTAACTGGGCATCCTGCATATTGGTTTTTGATGTTGTTGTTGTTGTTCTTTTCTTGCTAAATCTGGCAACCTTCCCCTGGTGGAAAGAGCACTTGGGGAAGACCTGGCCTGGAAAGAACTAGGCAGTGGCCGGTATACCATGGACTAATGGAAACCAGTGATCTCTAAGACCCAGACTGTAGAGGGCAAGTGGCTGGCAGCCTATAACTCCTCTCAGAGCCTCACCTGAGATCCGAGGGCCACCTCTTCACCCACCCGTTGTCCTCTGTCTGCTCTACCCCCGCCCTTTCGTAACAACGAAGCAAGCAAGTCTATCGAAGAGTTCATCTTTCGACTTAACCCTCCCTCCCAGGAGCTGCTGGCATTTCAAAGATGTTCTCAAGGAGAGGACAATTTTTAACCCCAAACAAAACAATAATAACAATGATGCAAATAACAATAGGGATGACAATAGCAATAACGCACTGATCTAGTTCTTCCTACCTGCCAGGTACCGGTCTAGGAGCTCTGCACATATTAATTCACTTCGTCCTCACAACAATCCCAGCAAAGTAAGGCTGTTATTATCCCCAGTTCACGGATGGGATGATGGAGGCACAAGATGGGGTACCAGCGAGGAAGCCTCTTAGGGGGCAGAGATGGAGGAAAGGCCTTTTCAGGTACCCTCAAATCCTATCTGACTCAGTGACTGTGATCTCAGATTGGGCCCTGAAAGGCTGGAAAACAAGGACTTCCAGGAGTTTCCTTGTGGAAAGACTAGCTGAGGAGATGAAAGGGCCCCTCCTGTCAGATGGTGTCCTGACTGCAGTGGGGGCTTCCACTGGGAGGCTTTGTGTCACCTGAGTGTCCTTTCAGAGACGCTGTGCCTGGCTGGAGCCTCTCCATCCTGGGAGCCTGGCTGGCTGGAAGGGAATTATGGTGCCATGACCCTGGGAAAGCGTGTGCGTGTGTGTGTGCGCATGTGTGTGCACGTGTGTGTGTCTGCATGCTAGGGAAAGGGCTCATTTGTGACTTGGTGTGTGTGTGGCAGGCACGGGGACAAGGGGGCCTTCCCCACTGAGTAACACAGGAAGGAACCTGGGTAGCAAGGGGGGAATTGAAACCCATCACGAGACCAGAGCAAGCTGGCAGAAAGAAGCCCCTGCGCCCTGAGAGCGCAGCCCTGGTCCTCCCCTAGTTCAGGAGCTGTCTCTTGAACGAGCCTAGCTAGAGCACCCTGGGGACCTCATGGCTCCTTCCAGTCCCATTTCCAAGAACCTTGTGGTTCTCCGGCTCCTTGGGCAGCTCCTCCATCCCAGGCCCTGTGCCGGCTTGCCTCGCCGCCTCTTCTCCTGGCTCAGCCATGCCTCCTTACACCCCCCATTTCCTGCCACAGAGGGCGAGAGGAACTGACCCCGAGCAAGTTCTAGAAGGAAGAGGGGTGAGTCAGGCCCTCAGGGGTGTGTGGGGACAGATGGGGAGCTGGGAGGCTGTGGCTTCCGTGGTCACCGCTCAGAGGAAAGCCCCTTCCTGTTGGCACTGCTCTGCCTGAGCTGCAGGGAGGCCGTGGCCTGCAGGAAGAGAGAGGGTGGGGCTGCTGTCTGTGCTGGGGCCACGCTGCTGGGCCGCTGCACTCGTGTCCTCGACCCACTGACTGGGCTCTCCTGGGACGAGGGAGGGCAGGGGTGGGGAGTGCACTTCAGAAGCCTCAGCTGAAGGGAGAAAGGATGAGCAGCTGTCTGATGCCTGTCTCCTGAGCCGCCCAGGGGCTGGAACACAGGGGCAGGGCTGCTACATATGGTGTGCAGCTTGACCCCTGCACAACCCTACGGGGTGCCATTTCCATCCTGCATAAGCAGATATAGTGGCCCTGCCTGGACGCCATTCTCTCACTTACTGGTCAGTGCTGATAGGGAAGAGGTTAGAGATGAGAGGTGGGACATGAGAGATGTTCCAGATGCAGGGAAGGGGAGAGGTAGGTTACCTCTAAAGCCACTGGGGGTTTCTGAGCCACCACTGTGTGCCTGACCTCCTGCTGGACCTGGCTGTGTTGGGGAGGGGAATGAATGAAAGCACTCATCCTGAGCTTCAGTCCCAGGGACTGGGGTGGCTGGAATGTTTGGGAATGGCCCCAGGGCAGGCCTTGACAGTCACTCTATCCACCCCCAGCTTCCCAGTTCTGTGGGACTGGCTTGCCACTGTTTGGGCGTGGTTTGTCACGTGTGACGGGACAGCTCCACTGTTAGGGCTAAACAGGCATCTGAGAGACAGAAAGTGGTGCTGCACTAGTCTAGCTCCTTTGGCCCTCGCAGGGTTTGGGAGCTCTTCTGCTAGAATGTGCAAGCTCTGAGCCGAGGGAAATCTTGGACCCAGAGTACAGGGCGCTCTTAACACTGGCACTGAGGGGAGCTGCTTTATCCAGTCTCCTGCTCTCCATGAGTTTCTAACAGAACACAGTTAACACTGGACTAGTAACTAGCTAGTCCTTCAAAGGGTGGCCTTGGTTATTGGCTAGCCGGCAGCACAACTTTGTAGTCGGGGTCCCTGGAAGACGGGGTCCCACCCAAGCAACGCCCCAGGATTCTCTTCCACGGGCCTACTCTTAAGACTTCCTGACAGCACAGGACAGCACTTCCTGGGTGACCCTCTCTCGCCAAGGGATGTTTCCCACCTGACTTGTCACTTGGTCCTCAGTGGGCCCCAAAGTACTTCCCTCTCAATCTGGGAAGTGGGTGTCGGGAAGCCAAGGGAGGGAGGTCCCCATGCTCCTTTCTCCTGCTGGCCCCATTCTGGTGGGCTGGAGAACAAGGGGTGGGGTCCCGAGCTGCCCTTGAGGTCAGACTTCTCTGAGCTGCTGCAGCCCCCTGCCCTGGGAAGTTTCTGCAGCCCTGGGGCCCAGGCTCTGAGTCACCCCATCCCCCCAGGCAGGTGACCCACATCTAACCAAGGTGGCCACCCTCTTCCCCAGCTGCGCCCTACTCTCTCCCTAAGCAGGGGCCCCACTGTTTCTTGTCAGGGGACAGTAGCCCTGAAGAAAAAAACCAGAGATTCAACTCCAGCCTAATAACCGCCCCACGGAGAGCCCGGCTCAGGTCTGTAATTTGTCTGGTTCGACGCGGGGCTGGCTGCGGTGATGGATGTGCCGATGCCTTTCTGCCGAGATTAATGATGTCCTGGCGGTAGTAGGCGGGAGGCCTGAGCCTTTTATTTTTTGTGTCATTAAGTGTCATCCAGAGACTTCCACTCAGGAGCTGAAAAGTCCTTGTTCTATCACATCAAATTACTCCTGGAGAATATTTGCTGAGTGGCTGATCCCGCTGGCTGGAGGGGCTTTGGGGTAGTGGGGGATCAGTTTGACTCTGGTGGGAGCGAGAGGGCAGGAATGCCAGGGGGAGTTTCTGGGGTTGCAAGAGGTGACCCCTGTCTCCTCTGGAGAAGAGAAGCCAGGAGAACTGGAGAGGGGAAACGGGATTCCTAATTATCCAGCCATTGGATCACCCAGGCCTCCTTCCTCCATCCCGTGGGGAAGGGAGTGAGAGGTGGGGGGACTCTAAGCTGACAATTTAGCTCCCAGTTATCAATTCCAATATTTGGTGGGCTGGAGTTTTGGGTGGAATCTGGGGATTATCTGCGGTTTCTCCATGATCTGTTCAGTATAGCTGTGGATGGCTGATGTTTGGCTAGGCTGGGGCCTACTTCTTGAAGGGGTCTGCCTGGGGCCTGTGCAGATTTCAGGCGGATCCTCACCTGGGCGCCTGGCTGAATTGCCCAGGATGGCCCCAGCTGGGCGGCTGCCAGGCCCCTGGTCCTACCTGCTCTGCCAGGTGGGTGGGGCCCTTCGGGGGCAGAAGAGAGCCGCCTGCCACAAGCCCACACAGTGATCAGGGGCTGGGCCCTGGGGGGTTGTGAGGCCCGTCCAGGTGAACCACCATGGGAGATCATGGGGGGTGTGTCGGGCTGTTTTGCAGGGGGCTGTGTGTGTTTGTGTCTGTCTGTGTGGGCGTTGGTGGGGCAGTCTGAGGGCAGGGTGGTCTCCAGGCAGGGCCCCTTTCCTCCACACTCCCGA